GAGAGAGAGAGAGAGAGAGAGAGAGAGAGAGAGAGAGAGAGAGAGAGGCAGAGGTGGGAACAGAGGGACAGATTCCAAAAATTGGAATCACTTGACCAGTGTCCCTGAGCTAAACCGGGCACAAAGCTCAGATCTAACTGAAGCACCTATGTGCAGGATACCCTATGCTTTTGACACTGTCTGTGAAATTGACAGTGTATATGTGCACAGTAAGGGTTTAACTGTCTCTGTATCTCACTACGATTTTATTTTATTGTCTTAGAAGGTGACAAAATCTAGTTAGAGAGCTGAGAGGCTGAGAACCTTTTTGTCTGCTGTGTGGCCATTTTAGTGTGTAGGGTCATGTCCTATGCCAGGTCGCCCATTCATTTGAGCCGCGTGGAGCCAATCACCTCACAATGTATGTGTGTGACCATCATAGTCTGCCTCATTTGCTACCATGTTTCTGTCTTATCTATGAAGAACTCAGGCCAACTTCCAGGCCTTCTCTGACTCTCTTTTCTCTCTTCTCTGCTGCATTCCTGACCCCTTGGGGCCCTAGGGGCACCATGGTAAGGTGAGTTCATAAGGCCGGGATGCCATGAAACATGGGGGGTATCGTGTTGGGGCCCAAATATAATGCCTCCCTTCCTGGCCCTTCACAGGTGGCTACGAGCCTACGAGAGTGCTGTCTCCTTCCACTTCAGCAACTATTTTGTGGGCTTTCTGTCTGAGGCCACAGCCACATTGGCCGGGGCTGGCTTCACGGAGGAGAAGGACCACTTGGAATGGTGGGGAGGGCTTTGGGGCCCCTTCTCCCACAGGGTGCTGCCTGGAGGAACTGTAGGGCGGTGGGAGGTGCTCCTGGGAAGGGACTAGTCAAGAAAAAAAAAACATAAGCAGCCAGATAGCTTGAGATTCCAACTGTAATGGAATGTCTGTTTTTGCCCGCAGGGACCTGACAGTCTCTAAACCGTTGAATGTGGAGCTACCCCGGTCCATGGTGGAAGTTGTCACAAGCTGGAACCTCCCCATGTCTTATTGGTTAAATAATTGTGAGTCATCAAGTCACCACTCTAGAATAGTTGGTGACCCAGGGCCTTTCATACATTTGTACAGCAAACATTTACTGAGCAACTACTGTGTGATGGACACTCAAGATACATTACTGGCTGTTAGTGTATTTCAGTTTGTTGAATGCCTGCCTAGCATTCACAAAGCCCAAGATTTAATCCCCAGCACCACACAAAAACTGGGTGTGTACCTGCCGGTAGTCCCAGCTCTTTAGAGGGTCAGAAGTCCAAGGTCATCTTCAGTTACACAGATCTCTTTGAAGTCAGCTTGGATACGTGAGATCCTGTCTCAAAAAATAAGATATATTAGAGACAACAACAAAACCACACAACATTTGCTAATCTGGTAGAACTGTCAATTTGGAGGGTGGATAATAGATAAGAGAAAGTATGCAGTTAAGTCAGGTAGTGGTAAATGTCACAGAAAAATCATAATGATGTTGAAACAGGAAAGAGGGACTAGGGAGTGGTCTGGAAAGTAGAAATTATTTATCCAGAGAATGTTTTCACTGAGGAAAGTGAAGGAGCAGGGAATATGGGGGAGGAATGGGACAAATGGTGAGAACAGCAGGTGCAAAGGTCCTGAGGTGGGAGTTTGCCTGGTGTGTATGAGAGACAGCAGGACAGTCATTGGGGGAATGGGAATGTGGCTCCATGGTGAGCCATTACAAGCCTCTGAGTTGCATCCCCAGAACTCGAATTAAGGTCTTTGGGCAGGGTCAGGGAGGGGTAGTAGGACATGACAAGTTCAAAGAGATCCTCAAGAGACTCCTGGACCACTGAGAAGCCTTTGGGTTTTCCTTTGAGAGACAAGTTACCCTGGGCAAGGCTGGGATCAGAGGAGAGTCATTTGGATACGTGGGTCATAACTGGTTCCCTTTGGCTTTTTTTTGGCTCGATGGAGGAAAGTGGAGGGAAGATGGAGGAGGATGAGGGCAGTGAGGGCCCACTGTAGCTGACTGAGGATTAGCAGTAGAGGTGACAACAGCCTGTGGTGAGAATTGGGCTTCTGAAGCAAGAGCTGATTAGATTTGCTAAGAGCGTGGCTGTGTGGGAAGGTAGAATTTGGCCCTGAGGACCTGGAAGTGTGCTGGGTTGACATTGACTGACCTTGGGAAGTCTGGCTAAAGCAGACTAAAGCAGACTGCCTAAAGAGTGGAAGACTGGGAGTTTCATTTTCAGGCTTGTGACAGTTGAGAACATCGTAAAGATGTTATCCTGGGGGTCCCTACAGATTACGGTTATCATCCGACCTGTGTCTCTCTGGAAACACTGGAAGTTCCAGAAATCTTGACCTGTGTCTCTCTCACCAACAGATGTTTTCAAAAATGCCCTCCGCCTGGGGACCTTCTCTGCTGTGCTGGTCACCTATGCAGCCAGTGCCCTCCTGCATGTAAGCAAGACAGACCTGTATCAAGGGAAGCGGGGTCGGGGGATTCAGAGCCTCCTTGTCACTCTCCTTGTCCTCTTGTCTGGGTCTCTAGGGCTTCAGTTTCCACTTGGCTGCTGTACTGCTGTCCTTGGCGTTTATCACATATGTGGAACATGGTAAGTGCAGACAGCCTGGCACAGCCAAGGTGGAAGGTTCGTGGGAGGCTGGAGTCGATGTTCCCTAAGGCTAACCTTTCCATACTGTCTAGTCCTCAGAAAGCGCCTCGCTCAGATCCTCAGTGCCTGCATCTTGTCAAAGCGTTGTCTGCCAGACTGTTCACATCGGCATCGCTTGGTGAGGGTTCATCATGGGTAACCTTGTACCCAACACCGCCCTTCAAAAAATGTCACTTGTGTCTCCATCTTAAATCTGTCTCTGGGTGCCCAGCCTCCTCTTCTGGTACATGAGCCATCCCTAAAACCTCACCTCTATTCACTGGCATCTGTTTCTCTAACAGGCATTTATTGAGCACCTGCTGTATACACACCTGCATTCATTCCCCCCCCCTGAACATTTATTGAGCACCTGCTGGTTCTAGGTGCTGGAGACAAAGTGGTGAACTAAAGCAAGGCAAAGTCCTGGCCCTGCGGGACAAAGATTTTAATTGGTGAAACAGGAAAGTCAGTCAAGGCTAAGAATAGTTTGTGAGGTTGTGAGTCACACTAAGCATAAGGGAAAGGGAACAGGAGGTATGGTAGCAGTGGTTTCCCTTTTCATTGGAAAGCCTCCATGGGTGAGGAAACTTGTAAGTTCTTCTAGGTAAAGAAGGTAAGAGAGGGAAAAGGAGGTACCCAGTGTAAAAATCCCCACCCTAACATGGGCCTCTTCGAGCAACATCGAGGAAGGAGGCCAGTGCGGCTTGAGCAGACAGTGAAGGGAAAGATGGGCCTTCTAGGTCAGGGTGGGATTTGTTTTGTCATCGTTGTTGTTTTCATTCTGTTTGCCATAAGAAAATGTAGACAACCTCACATTTGTCTCCCACCTGGCAACGATGCTCATCACCATAACCCCTGGCTCAAAGCCCCACATTCTTACTCTACCTGAACGCTCGAGTCTCCCCCAACCTGGACGCCCTCATGGTTACCAACACCCTCGTCCTTGGATACCTCTGAGCTCCCATAAGAGACTCCTTGAACCACCTCTTTCCTATCTTAGGGTACCCTGGGCATCCTGGGACCCACAGTGCCTTGTGTCCCCCCACCCCACCTCCGGGCTTCCCTGCACAGGTGGTGGTGGGAGACAGTGAGCAAGTCCAACTGCCAAATATATTCATCTGTCCCCCACAGGGCCTGGGGGTACGAGCCTTAAACTTGCTCTTTGGGGCCCTGGCTATCTTCCACCTGGCCTACCTGGGCTCCCTGTTTGATGTCGATGTGGACGACACCACAGAGGAGCAGGTGAGGGGGGCCCTGGGCTGGGAGGTGAACTAGGGATGGCAGTTACTGTTTAGGGGAACCTTGAAGACCAAGGTAATGAGAACAAGCCAGGGTCATGTGTCTTAGCTTGTACAAATGCCTTCCTTTATCTTCCCACTGTCTCTCAAATGTAGTCATACTGCTGGCTCTTTCCTATGAGTAAACTGCACTATTTACTTACCCTCTAAAATTCATTCTATTACAATAGAATACAAAATCCAGGCTTTTCTCTTTTTTTTTAACTACTAGAAACTGAACCCAGGCTCTCCTTCATGTTAGAAACATTTACTATACCACCTACCCCGGGTTTTACTTTTCTTTGTAGCTTTGATTGAGACAGGGGTCCCAGGTATTCCAGGCTGGCCTCGAACTCAGTATTGTGCCTAGGTGGGTCCTCTTGCCTGCACTTCCCAATGGGCTGGGATTACAGGCATGCACCACCACACCCAGTTTTGTGGTCTGCTAGAGATCAAACCAAGAGATGCAAGACATGTAAGCACTCTACTATGTTACATACCCTAGCCGTGTGTGTGTGTGTGTGTGTGTGTGTGTGTGTG